CATGTCTTCACGTAGAAGACGAAATTGAATATCGAGAAACCTTTTCGGACCCGCACTGAGAAAATGAGGAGCATAGGAATGACTAGATGGAAGAAAGGGACTTCGTTTGCAAAAAATTTCTGCGGAAGTTGGGACTATGTGTATATCTTGAAAGTTTACCGCATCGTTGTCGTGACGCTTACCAAGCTTTGACAGCTCACCTGAATAACATAAACGACAATGTATGAATATCTTGCTAGTATAATTGAAGAATAAACAATCCATAGCTTACCGGGTGGATCGTAATCACGTTGCAATTCTATTTGCGTCGCTATAATTTTTGCATCAATGCTCACATTTTCGGAACTTGATTTCACATTTTCCTCTCCCTTTTCTAAACTTTGTTTTCCCATATTTAAAATTCGCTTCATTTTATCCAATTCTCTATCGATAACAGTAAAGCAATAGGGAGGCTTGTCAGCAACTCCATCCGATAAAATATCTCCGACTATGTGGCCACTCGTTAAAAGGTCTTTCCATGCATTATTCGCTTGTTCTAACCGACCGCCAATAACTTGTATTGTCATGTTGACTTTTGCCTCTCGAATTCTTCCGAGTATCTCGTTTATGAATCGGACGAGTACTAAGAGTATTTGAGCACAAGTGACAGGTATGAACGCATTATTTTTTAGTAATGCTTGTTCTTCAACACTGGTGTCTCTCAGAGATTTTCTACGAATTAACTCGTCTACACAGTTTAATACTTGGTCTTGAATAAAACTGTCAATGTATGCATAGACGGCCGAATATATCGCATTAACTTGTCTTTCAAATGTCGACTCTCTAATGCCATTTCGAATAAGCAGAGCTATAAATGGTAATGCAACTGATTGAAAAGACACTAATCTTTCATTTAAACCAGCATCGACGTTAACTTGCGAATTGCAAATGAGTCTTATTCTAGGTATTCCTTTATCGCTAGCCAGTTTGTTAAGCACTTCTTCGGCTAATGGATTCCCTGAAGATGAAGCCACAAGGCACGAACTAACAAACGACCTCATATCTGAATGATTCCACTGTTCTT